TGTTGGTGCTAGGCCGCAATTAATGCCAAATGCCAAGAGACAAGCATATGTATGTATATCATTCAGTGTGTGGGTGTGTGTGGGTGTGTGGGTGTGTGTGGGTGTGTGGGTGTGTGTGGTTGTGTGTGCTGTTTGGCCTGCCAGCACATGGCCGGACATAATCATTATTGTTCTTAACAAGTTAGAGCAAATAATAAAAGCATAATTTATAATATTCTCTCTATGAGAATGTGTATTTAACTGTGCGTGTGACTGTGTGTGCGTGTGTGTGTGTGTGTGTGAGTGAGTGTATGAACGTGTGTAGCCCATTTTGCTGTTCACTTAATATTTTAGTTAATTAATTTGCACACACACAAAAGGCAGAGTCTGAAACTCTTGGCAGTCTTAAATTTCTTACACTCATTTAACATTCTGAATTATTTATCTAAATTGTCGCACACACACATAGAAACAGGTGTGTGAAAGAAAACTCTTGCATGCGCATAAAAGCACATACGTATGTATATTAGAGCTGTGGAATTTCAGCAACAAAAGCAACAACAACAATTGTTGGCATTTGCAATTATTCATACGCCACGTAGACAAATGTGCTGGCAGGACACGTAGAGCGGACAAAGAGGGCATTGGACGCATATGGGATATGCAGCACATTCCAGTTTAGATTTGTTGCCGGCTTGTAATTGTTGCAGATAATTAAGTTGTAAGCAATCGTAACCAAGCCAAATAGTCACCCAGGTGCTCTGAAGTGCGGAACGTGGCAAATGGAACATGAGGATCCATTAGTGGCGCACCTGACCAGCCCTCCTTTCGGCCACTCGTCTCACCACAGCCAGCACATTGCCTGACTAATTGTCAATGTGCATATGTTAAACACCCCGAAAGCTTCAAAATAAACAATATGCCTTTCATATATAAATGTATGTAGTGTAGTGTAGGTCAAAGGTTGCTTTGTTCTATCTTAAGTGTAGGTAAGCCGAAGTCTGCCGCATATAAAAAGTATTTAATTAAGCACTCATATTGCTGGTTGATAATTATTTAACGATTATATATATATATATATATATATATATGTATTCATTGTGGCCATGTTGTATTCAGGTTAGTTATTCACTTCTGCAGCTCGGCACCCTTTTCGTATTATCTCTTTATTGTGCCAAGCACTAATTTAACTTCACGTTAAATGATCTTTTGACAAAATTTCTTAAAACTCTTTTGACTGCAGTTGTTGTAAATATAAACATGGGTTCAAGCGAGCTGAGTGAAAGGGCTTGGGCGGACGGAATGGAAAATAAGTGAAATGCCAGCGCGAGATTCTGGCCTTTGTGTGAAATTAAAAGTTACTGCTTAGGAGCATTTTTGTATGACTTTGCTCGTTATATGCCATTCCTGCCGGATCTGCGTCTTTTGTAGTTATTTACAGGCTCGCCTCCAGCTCCAGCTGCAGCTGCAGCTGCAGCCGGTCATTATGGCTATCAAAAGTGAGAGGGACGGCAGAAAGATTATAAGCAAAGTGCTTCAGTTTTTGAGTCTTTGTAAATTATTAAAACACATAATTTACAAGTTGAAACCTGACAGTGCCAGGAGTCGAGACCCGGACCAGGTCCCCAGTCCAAATGCCCGGTCCGAGCTCCGTTCAAGCCCGGTTGTGGCAAGATTAAAACGAAATGCAGCCAACAATAACAAAGCCAACACAATTTGTTGCAAAAGAAATTCAGCTGAAGTTGGCAGCATACAAAAAAATTGCTCAAGAGAAGCACAAAGAAAGCACATGGATGGAAAGAGTGGAAGGACGTGAGCAGGGGAAGGCAACTACGGGTTCCGGGTTGTATTAAAGCACTTACAAATAGCAGGCAATGAATTGTATTAAGTTATTTATTAAAGTTTTAGCCCATTCCACAAAATAAATCGCCAAAGATTGAGAAATTTATGTGGAAATGCTGTAGAAAAAAATTATAAATGCATAATAACAGATGATCCGTGTACTTTTCACATGTACATGTACATGAACAACTTTTAAAAATGTTCAAGAACTAATAAACATTTAATCGACATATTTTACTTATAATATGCTCTTGATGTTCAACTATCTGATTATGGCATATCGGATTTTGGTTTCGTTTCGGAGAGAATGCAAGAAAGAGAGAGAGAGAGAGAGAGAGAGATAGAGAGATAGAGAGAGAGAGAGAGAGAGTTAATCAAAGTATGAAGAGACTAATTTTATTAGACAAACAATAATTCTTGTTAATGTAACACTTTTAATCAATGCATGAAAAACTGTGAATCTTACTCGAAATCTTCAGAATCGCATAGTAAGCCAATATATAAAAATTACGTTTTTTCTTGTTTATATTTGTAGTCAAATAAACTTGTCGCAAGAGAACAACAAACGTATCGTAAATTTCCCGGACTTGCCCAAGTTATATTCTTCAGATTTAAGCCTTATTTTTACATCCATTTTTTTTCTTGTTATTCTTGTTATATAAAAAAAATGAAAAAACTTGATATAAATGTAGAAATTCTAAAATTTAACGAGCAAAACCAACATCTTTTGTAGCTTAGTCTGTTTGTGGGCAAGTACTCCCTAATCTGCAAGTACCCAGTAGACAATTGCAATAGCTTGTCAGCATGCAGATGCTCCGCACTGATTCAAAGGTGCAACCAGTTGTGGCATGTAAGCCGCAAAGCCTCCAACTGGCAGCACTCGGACTCGTCAAAAGTGGAATTCATAATATAAAATAGGCAGCAACGAAAATTCTGGGCTCTCAATTCATTTTCTACATGCAGCTGCTCAGAGATTTTGGACAGTTTTTCTGGCTACGCAACTTTCCAAAACAATTTTTGGCCAAGTTCTGTTTGACCAAATAAATTAAAGCAAAAAGTAAGCTTTAAATAATGGCAACAATCAAGATAAAAATAAAGGAAGATAGAAAGATAGATAGATAGAGAGAGAACGCGAAAGAAAGAGAGCAGCAGCTCAGCTCCGGCAAACATCCTGCCGAATCCTTGTAACTCACCTCATTAACAAGGCTCTAAAAACAGCTACATAAACATGTTAGCACATCTATGAGAATGGGAATTGAAATGGCCAACATTGGGTTGGGCTAAGTTTCAGCCATGGATTCACAAATTCCCGCAGCTCTGGCGCGCATGCATCATAAAATTATATGAGTTTGGGCACTTGAGGCATCCGCAGGCAGAAGTGGGAATGCGCATTGAAGTGGTCGTTAGTGGGCACGCTGTGAAAACGAGTTAATCGTGGACAGGACGAGGGCTGAAGGACGAGGCACGCAGGAAGCGCGCTGTGTGAACGGCGCTAATTGCGGCAACCTGACAAATGTCGCACCTGCAGGACGCAAACAGCAAATGGGATGCGGTAAACGTGGCGAGGACAGCAACAATGCCAAATGGCAAATAAACATTACTGTAAAGCTACAACAACACCAGCAGCACATCAAAGGATCCACCCACCTGGCCACGACCTTTTTTCACACTAGACATCTGGCTGAAAAACAGAGCACCGCCCGTCGTCCAATTGGGTCCAATGACCAGGACACACATACAGCACAACAACCACGGCCACAACAAAAGCGCAACACGTAATTGTTGTTGTCTATTAGAGCCAAGAGCTGACCCACTGAGTGGCTCGTCGAAAGGATAATAAAAACAACACAAAAAAAAAAAACAACTGAAAGCAATCAGCGAAAGAAAACAATAAAATGCAATAAAAACAGGTAAGAGTGCGCAGGTCGGCGGTGCACGACTTGCAGATACCCTAAGATACACAACCAAGCAGGCACGCCTCAAACTGTGCTGTGTTCTTGTTCTTATCTCGAATAACTTGAATATGACATATAAACGTATACCAAAGCCCACGTCTGTGCCTCTTAAAATGGTTCGTCGATGAGCGAGCCTACAAAGAGAATTTGCTGCCTCTGACTCCTTTGAACCTTAAAACAGGATAAGCTTTCGCTATTGTGTGGGACCCACTTTCCAGATTTTCTTATAGTCGTCGCGATGGACGCGATTATTTAGACGGACAGACGAACAACAGGCCGGAATGATCAACATTTTATAGATGCTTTATAGAGTTGGATATACTTACTTCTACGTGTTACATGCATGTGCACAAAATCATGAAGTCCTGTCGTAAACATTTAAAATGGGTATTTAATAAAATTGGCAAATGAAAAAGTATTTGCGAATACTTGAAGAAAATCGGCTGTATGATATATAAAATAAAAGCATGTCAATCGCAGCATGTATCGCATTCTGTAAAATACTTTACAATTTGCCTGTAATCGAGAAAGCACTAGTAAATTGCTGGAAAATAATATTATTATAGGTTATAGTTGCCTGCGAGCCCATGTATTAAAAGAAGATTGCAGAAGAGTTGTATTTAAATGTAAGAACCCTCTCGAGTGCATTAAATTAGCTTGCCTCACACGCAAACCAAATCGTTGTAGATATGTATATAACATTGAAATCTGAACACTGCCACTGCATAAAGGCAATACACCTTCTTTTGATTTATGAACAGGGTAAGAAAATGTCTTCTCTTTGTTGTCGTTAAGAAACAAACGAAACATGCTCCTAAAAGAGTAGCTCCCGATGTGCTGCCAACGACTGCTATAGACTTATTGATACCAGACACGGCCAGCCAGGGAATGCAAGGATACGAGGATGCGGGCAGTGGGCAGCGGACAACGGGCTGCGGTTTGTAGCAGTGCCTTCAAATCGAAAGCCAACAAAATGTTTGTTATGTCGCAGCCAAAGTCAAGGGACAGCAAACTTTGTGCAGGCTTTGAAGTGGCGATGGCCAGGACCAGAGTGGGCCGCCGCCTGCCGCCAGCCAACAGCCACCAGCCACCAGCCGCCAGCTGTCAGCGTGAAGTGCTGGGCAAACAAGGACATCGCGAACCAAAGCAAAACAAGAGAAACGCGCGAGCCAGAGCCAAATGAAAGAGAGTGAAGCTGCGCTTCAATGTTTGGGTTGCTGTTCGACGAGTTTTCTATTGGCTAAGTAAAGTAGAGTGCAAGTCGACCCACTGGATACAGCACACAGTTAAAGTTACAGTTACAATTACAGCTTCAGTTGCAGTTGCAGTTAAAGTGAGAGATCTGGCGCAGAGCAGCGCAGGAGTTGCGACTCCCTGGTGCTAGACATTGAACTCGTGCTGGTAGTCGCACTCGTCGCTCTCCTCACTCTGGCGACTGCTCATCAGGCGCAGACGTCGATCTAGCGGTAGTGGCACCAGCACCTGACCAAGACCTGCCCGCTGCAGCGCGTCCATGCTGCTGCTGGGCAGCGGGCTGAGCTCCGGGCTCTCGTAGAGCGGCTGTCTGCGTTCCACGCTCCAGTGTACACACCGCGAGATCTTCGACTTGGTGTGCGGCTCCGGATCGGATAGCTCCAGTGGCCGCTGCGCATCCTGTGGCAGAAAGCTGGCCTGCCGCAGATCAGGCAGGCTGCGATAGTTATTGATGCCGCTGCCACTGGGCAGCATTTGTGGCTCCGGTTGGGCCAGCGCCGGTGACTGCGGCAGCTGTGTGCCAATTGCAACTGCAGTTGGGCTGTGTTCCGCCTGCTCCAAGGGCGTGAACACATCCAGGAAGCTGGGCAGCGCTTGCGAGGGACGCCGCGGCAGTTCCGAGTTGAGCTTGTGCAGCGTAATGCAAAAGTCCTGAAAACCATGCACTGTGTGATAGTTGCTGCTGTTATCCTTGCCCTGGCAGGCACGCGCCTCCGGCCGTAGGCTCGGCCGTACGGTGCCTGGTGACCAGGTGTGTTGATATTGTGGTGCATCCAGATCCACCTGCCGGCGCTCATCCAGATCGAGTCGATCAATAGCGCTGTGCAGCTCCGGATCGCGCAATGCCACCTCGCGCGCCAACCGCACATCGTGCCGCCAAAACTGCTGATCCCGCTGCACCGCCGGCGCCACCTCCTTGATGCGCAGCACCACCACGCCCATTAGCCAAACACAGACTACATTGAGGAGCGTGAGCGCCATGCTGACCGTGGCGCATACGAAGAGCTCGATGTGCAGATGCGGCGAGTACTCCCGATGCTTGGACAGGCCCTTCAGCAGCTCTTGGTCAATGTGCAGCACGCGAGTGCACAGCGCGATAGCCCACAGCAGGCCGGCATTTACCGCTGGTGGCAGCAGGGATGCAGATATCGCCACGCCCACCAGCGAACCAGTATTACCGCCCAACACGCCAATGGCCGCCGCGGCCCCAGAGGCAAGCGCTGTACATAGCCCAATGGCCAGCGAATGGGTGTCGCAGCGTGAAATGATCTCCTCGGTAAAGCCGGTGGATAGCATAAAGAAACGCCCAAGCCCGCACAGGCAGATGGCGCCGCCGAAAATGAAGCCCGTCACCACCGAAATGGCAATGCCAATTAGCTCGTTCTTAATACCCAGCCAACGCAGGCCGCGATCGCCAATCACCGAGCCGAAAATGGCCGCTATGATGGGGCCCATTAGGGGCGAGATGAGCATGCTGCTCGACAGGAATAGGAAGCTGTTCTCCACCAGGCCGACGCAGGAGAGCAGGGCGGCGGTAATGAGCAGTACCACGAAGTCAAAATTGATGGTGGCATCGCGCCGCACCACGCGCACCACCTGATTCACATTCAGGCGGCATCGCACCGAATCCATAAAATTCTGCCAGCCCAGACGCTGTCCCTCGCTCTGTTCCTTGGCGCCAGCGCCGGGTACAGCGCCAGTATCTGTGCCTGGCGTACCAGCTGCCGCTCCAGCTGCGGCAGCTGCTACTCCTACTCCTACTGCTCCTGATCCGCTTCCTGCTCCTCCATAGGTGCCTGGTGTCGGGCTGAGCTTGACACGCGTCTCCAGGCAATTGATGGCAGTCACATGTGTGCCCGGCCGCTCGCCAATGCCCCAATCCTGCAGCGTGCAGAGTAGACACTCGTAGCGCTCATCCTGCACAAGATCGAAGCGCGCCTGCAACTGTCCACCAGCCACGTCGTGTGACCAGAACACGTGCTCCAACCGCAATTGTAGGGCAATCTGGCGTACCACCTGCTCCAGTGGTGCATTTCTTGACAGCTCCCGCAGGTGCAGAGCTCGGCTGTTGTGTGACCGCATATTTGGCTCGATACCCTGAATATGGCTGCTCATGTCCCAGTTGGGACAGACACAGTTATAGGCATAATCACAGTTACAGTCACAGTTACAGTTACAGTTACAATTACAATTGCAGTTACAGCTGCTGCCACATCCGCTCGAGTAGTTGCCGGAAAAGTGTTTGCTGTGCAGATTCAGCTGGCGTCTCTCCTCCTGCTCGGTGAGCACCGTCACCATGACGCAAACGGAGGCATTCATAATACACAATATGACTTGAATTTTGGCAAACGAATCGCTAAACGTTAACTAAACACGATATACTTAAACGCCCAAGCAAACGGATCTGTTTATGGGTATCCCGGAGCCAGAGGCAAACGAAGACTATGACTTGTATAAAGATAATGATTTTTAAATTCTCAGTAGCTGTCAGAGCTGAGGCTGTTTGCTTAGCTCCCATTGATAAGCTTATAAACTAATGAATATCTTAACTAAAAATAAAATGCAATAAAGTCATCATAAAATCCCAAATACATATAGAGGATCAACCAGAAAACCAATACATATAAATGGGCTGACATAAAAATAATAATCTGTGTATCCAATTAACTGATTGACTAATCCCCCAGTTACTAGCTAATTGACTGATTGACTGACTGACTGATAGATTGATTGACTGATTTACTGACTGATTGTATGATTAACTGCATGACTTACTAATTAACTGCCTGACTGACTGGTTGAGTGACAAGCTGATTGACAAATTGACTGACTGATGATTGATATTGGATTGACTAAGTGACTAACGGCTTAACTGCTTTATTTACTGATTGACCGACTGGCTGACTGACTAATTAACCGAATAACTAATTGACTGACTGAATGTTTGACTGATCGACCGACTGACTAATTGTCTGATTGACTGACTCGTTGACTAACAAGCTCATCGACTCTCGAATAATTAAAAGACTGAATTAGTTGACTGACTGATTGATGATAAAAATATAGATAAGAGCGAAGAGCCAAGATGCTTTTAAATCTCCATTTTACACTGTCCTGATTCGGGCAAGACCAGGTAATACTCGCTTGATTGAAAAAAGATGAAGAAGATTAAAATAGATGCGGTTTCGCCAACATTCTGAAAATATTTGCACGCAGCTGTGATTGAATAAACCAGATGTTAAGTAAAGGTCAGTTCCTTTCCTAAAAAGGCCGTGGATCTTTAAAGGTTGGCATTTTTAGAGAGATTTTTTACTAGTGCCCCACAGCCAGCTGTGTGCCTCTCAGGCTCAATCGCGTCCTGTTTGCTGGCGCGGATGTTGATCTGCAGCGGTTGCCCTTGCCTCGTTTGTTTACATCCGCTGCCAGGTAAGGGGGCGCTGGGGCGTGCCAATGTGCGCGTGTCCTGTTGCCGCATAATCAAGACGACGGCAGCCAGGACTAGGGGAAGCGGCAAGCGGAATGTCAACAAACTGCAGCAGCCATGAAATATTATGAGGCCGCTTAGCAGACGGCTGTGGCTTGCCAGTAATAACACACACACACACACACACACACACACACACTCACACACAGCACAAAGTCGAAGGCGTGCGGGATCGAGGGAGTGTGGGGGAAATGTGCAAAGAAAATCCATGCAAACAAAATCGCGCTCACACAGAAAAAAACCCACTCAAAACGAGCAGCAGTTGCAGCAACAACAACAGCATCAGCTCAATGCAACCATTGTTCTGTAAACACACACACCCACAACACACCCACACACAACATACATACAACACACACACAAACAACACACACAACCGCCCACACATATGTCGAATTTTTTCTTGCTGCATTCGTCGGTGTCCATTATCCAGAGGCATTTTTTTTTGTTGCCACGCCTTTTTCCATCTGCCATTTGGCAGTCACAGCGGCTGTGTGTATGTGTGCCTGAGTGTGTGCTGTTGTGCGTGTGTGTGCTTTACCGAGATCAAGCGTCAAAATTACATTGTTGGCATACGCTGTGCAACTTTTTGCCCCATTCGCTGCCGCTGGCCAACATTTTATTTTGTGCCTTTTGCGTTGCTGCCGCCCCCCTTTTGGTGGCATACCTCGCGCTTCCTGCCGCCGCCAACAGCATGCAACTCTTGTTATTGCGGCTCCTGTTGCTGCCGTTTGGTCACCTCGAAATCCTTTCCAGCCATCCAACCATCGAGCCGGTCAGCCCATTGTCTGCTCTGCTTCAGCTGCTCGTTTTTTGGCTGTCCGCAAAATGTGGGCGGCACAAGCCAACAAAAAAAAAAAAAACAACACACACACAGGCAGAAAATAAAAAAAAAAAAAAACAAGAAAGTTCTTTAAATAGAAAGCCGTATCACCAATACACTTTCTTTGGCTAGCAGCTCGATCTACGAGTCTATCATTTATACAATCATTGTTTATATGTATGTAATATCAGTAAAGGGAGTTGGATAGTTTTTCTGATAGATATAGAATTGGAAATATTTATGTATTAAATGGATAAATTCAGTTTTAAATATATGTATGTATATATTAAACGATATTTGTAGAATTTATAAAAGTAATTTTTAAAATTACATAATAATTTAATTTTTTTAAGGTAAAATCTTATTGAAAGCATAAATGCGAAGGACAAGGTCCTGGGGGAAGATGCTGTTTTAATAGTATTCTTTAGAGGAGTCTATACTGGTCTGTTAAGCATATATATTGGATAGATAAGAACACACATCAGGATGCTCTTCACGCGTTGGAAGCAGCAATAAAATGAGTAACATTTCAATATATGTATATACATATAGTTCATATAAATATATAATGCGAGTCGGCAGTCCATTCAATTTTTCCTATTCGAATATTTTTTAGGTATTTATTGCAAAATTGTTCGTATATCAGAACATAAAATCACAAATTACCCCAAATATTTGTTAAATAAAAAAATAGGTGCGGGACTTGCGAATGCCCCTGGATTCAGAGTGCAGCAGCTGTATATAATTACACATATAAAATCAAAACGGAACTTGTCTCAGAAGGCTGCAGAATGTATGCCCAAACGATAATGCCCGCGGTAAAGGTAGCCAAAAATCCACCAAAAGAGAGCAAGCCAAGGGGATAAGGATGAAAAGCACGCTGGCCAATGTGCGAGGGTCACTAGACGCTGGACAGAGGGACACACAGGACACGGGGACGCGGGGACACGGGGACACGAGGACACGGGGACACACAGGACGCACTGAGCAGCGTTGATTGTTGCAATTTCTCGTTAAATTGAATTCAGTCATTCAATGCGAGCTGCCCTGAGCTGAGGGCAGTCAGCTGAAGAGCCCCGAGCTGTGAGAGAGATCCAAGCTGCCTTGCTTATTTATGACAAGTGTCGGGACACAGGACAACGACGGGCAACGGGTAACGGCCAATGGCGGCAGACAGCGGACGATGAACAACGAAATGCGGCAATGACAACGGCGATGACAATGACAATGAATACGACGCATTATGGGATTGTGATTGCGATTGCGATTCCGATTGCGGGTTTCGTTTTCAAATTACACAAAACACACGGCAACAGCGCATTGGGCAGCTGATTGGCTTAAGCTGAGCATCAACAGCGCGTGGTTAATCAGCGGGACTCTTTTAATGCCAATTTTTCAACACTTACCGAGCTGCACACGCTTGCATTCAAAATGTATTCAATTGTGTACGACAGCCTCACATTCCGACGACGGCAAATGTCAAAGGGGGGTAAAGCATGTTGCCAGCCAAAGTGATTCGCCTGGTGGCTTGGCCAATTAAAACTAGTAAATAATTGTATCTTCCAGATAACTTTAACTATTGTTAATGTTTTGTTAATTTGTTTCCAAATTAATTAAGACAACACGGTTTTTTAAAATAAGCTCCCAGTTGTCTAATATTCTATTTCTCCCTGTTTGCTTTTTCTTTGTATCCATACAAATGATAGATAAAATTTGTAATTTTAAATTCTTACACAGAGTTTAATTTCAGTTACAATGTTTAGATTTTAATTTAAATATCTTTGAACTCTCTCTCAGCCTTTGACTTACTTTGCCTTTGTTCGTCTCTTGAGCGGACTTGCAGTTAGCACTTAAATTGATAGACAGGTGCAGCTAAAATAATGCCAAATTTTGGCCAGGCCAATGCACATTTTGACTGGGTTAACTAATGAGGGAGTTGATAATGTTGGTGCCGCAGTGCGGGAAGGGAGGTTAGGAAGCGACGGCTCGTAAATAACTAAAATGCCAACCACATAGCCACAGGAAAAGGCAGCCAAATGCAAAATTATGCGCCACATTTAAATGTAATTTGCATTTGTTATCATTAATTGAGCTGCATGACGTGTGTTAGTGTGTGCGTGTGTGCGTGTGTGTGTGTGGGTGTGTGGGTGCGTAAATACATCCGAATGAATTGCGTGAAATGAGCATTTAAGCCTTTTCATTGAGCAGCAATTACAGCAACAACAACAACAGCAGCGACAGCAGATCCTTTGACATATGGCAAACTAACGAACCGAGTGCTGGCCAAATCCGCTTCAGATAGGCTCAAAAGATAGCTGCTTATAGATGCAATCATATCTAACAAATCTAGCAATATACAAAGTAAAACAACCACAGATTATATACTATGAAATCTCGCCTACAGGACAATCCCATTAGGCCGACACTCGCTGTCCGCCCAAGAGAGTTTTCACTGTAATATGCAAGAGGCTGATTGATTGTACGACGCTGTATGCTCCACTTTCGGGCTGATTAATTTGAAAGCCGTGCCAAAAAGGCATTTTACGCTGAATGGAAATTTCAATGGAGTGATAGGCGCCGCGATAAACAACATTTAAGTTCTGTTGAGACAGAAAATCCCAACCATTCCAATTACTTAACACAATTGTTTGAGTAAGTGGCCAAATTGGGGTGCAGCTTCTAGTGTGAAGTTTGCGTGTGTGTGTGTGTGTGTGAGGCAGCAATGAAAGTGCCAAATAAATAAGGTGTAAACATGCGTATATATGTGCGCATGTGTGCGTGTGTGAGCAGCATCCCGAGCTCGTTTGGTAGCTTTAATGCCAACAAAATCGCAATCGCCTAACGTTATCCTTATCATTGTCATACTTAAGTTAACAACAGCTTAAACAACAGCACACACTCACATGCACACACACATACACTCAAGCACTAATCAAGAACACACACATACATTTTCGCTGAGACACCTTGCGTCTTGTGTGCTGCGCACAATGGGCGATACTTGCAAATATATATACAAAAATTTGAACATATATTTATAGCTCTTTTTTAATGCTGTGCTAAACGTAGGCACTTCTAAACGATTTTCTTTCTCTATGTAAGTTTGTCACTTGCCTTAACTCTATCTATTTATTCATATTGACTAACGTCACATTTAACCACTGTGCACACCGGAGTCGATACTATGGAATGCGATTCAGAGCAAAGTACCCAAGCAACAGCAACAACAGCAACAGCAGCAGCATCTTCAATGTAAATGGCAGTGGCAGCGGCAATGGTAACGAGACAGCATTTGGCTGGGCTTTTAGCCACGCTCATTTTGTGGCAGGCGCAAAGCCCCATAATCAGAAAGCTTTCGCACTTTATTTGTGTTAGTTTCAATTATATAAACAACGGCAGCAGCAGCAACAGCAGCAGCAGCAGTTGCAGGGGTAGCGGTGGCAAGTAGTCCCAATTACCGCTTGATTTAGCACACGCACACAAATGCAAACATGTTCAAGCACTCAGACTCTCCCTTACACACACACACACACACACACACACAAAGGCAGCAGCCATGACAAACTTATTGAGATTCATTGAGCAGATTGTGAAGCTTCGCTTCAGTTCAGTTAAGTCCTGTGCAACGCAGCCCCACCAACATCCTACACTCCACCCCCCGCCAACCTCAACCAGTCACCCACGCATATGCCAATATGGGCAGGTTTGACTGGCAGACAATAGCTAATGCTTCAACTGGCAAATACAAATACAAACACACACACACACACTGGCACTTGTCTGAATTACGTACGTATGTAAATGTATGGTGTATGTGTGTGTGTGTGCGTATTGTTTACTTTGCATAAAAGCTCAGCCATTGAAAACTAAAATACTGCACAGCACATTGAGACTTTGTATTGCATAGCATTAGGAGGCGTTTCATTTATATTTTATGCACACATGCACACTCAGGCACACACACACGCACGCACACATACAGCGAATGAGCCAACGTTTATGTGCGTCGTTTTATCGTCCTGTTTTCAGTGTGCATTTGAGCTTAATAGTTAAATAAACAGCAATTTCCTTCTGGCAACAGCAATAGCAGCAGCAGTTGCGAAAGTTGCCATTTGGCTTACAAATAAAACAGCTCAACCAACCCCACCCCCCACCACCCATCGAATCGCCGAACAACACACACCATTCGACAATAATTCAGAGGCTCCCGAAACAAATACAAATTTTCTTCTGTAATTGAAATATTTTATTTGTATTTTGTTCGATTTACTTGACAAATATTGCATAAATTGAAATGAAAAGTGCAAATAATCTTTTTCTCTCTCTCTCTTGCTCTTCCCCGCTCTCTCTTTCCCCCTTCCCCCTTTTTCCCCCTCTTTCACTCTTTCTCCATTTACTAAATTGTATGTCTTTAGGTCGAGCTGAAATTCTTATTTTGCATATATGTAATAATAATTTTGGCGCACGCCCAAGGGTATGCAGCATAAATGCAGCTATGCTTGCGCGACTGCCTGCCCCTAGGTGGCGCTGTAGCCACAAAATCATGCAGTTAGCCAAATAGCAACAGAACTCGACTAACAGCGGCTGAACGCAATGGCCCAAAAACCAGCTGTGGATGATTTTATTCATATATATGCACATGGGTGTATTCATATACATTCATATTTGGAAATTCAAATGGATTCGCACGGGCTTATACAAACTCAGCTGCTGCAATCAGCGCCTAATGCAGATCGTTTGGTAAACACGCATTTCAACATTCCTATGCCAATTTCTCTAGCTCTCGCTCTCGTTATCTCTCAATTCGGTTGCATTTTATTCGCCATGTTAACATGCCGTCTGCATATGTTTGCCCAAGGATTTTCGGGGAAAAATGTTAAATTTTCCTAATGGCATTTGCTACACGAGTCAAACACAGCAAGCACAGGAGCAACAACAACATCGACACCTACGCCGGCTGCAGGCAAGTGTGACAGATATTTTAGCATATTATGGGCGTGTGTGAGCGCCTGTGTGTGTGTTGTTTGTGCATCCGCACGAGCGCCAGTTTCCTGGCCCTGATTTTGTTTCTAATAGCTGGTTATTCTAATGCTCCTCGTCGCTGCCAGCTGTCGCTGACATTCGCATCCGCATCGGCATCCGTATTCGCAGTGTTTGCTTTGGCCAACCCGCGAGCTGAGGCACTGCCGCAATATTCTACGTCCACTTTGATTGCATTATTGAGTTCCACTTTTCGATGCATCACAAAAACTGAACGCTCCAATATACGCCTCAAGTCCACAGCCGGGGCTGTGTATAATAATATGTTTACTGAAGCGTCACACTTTGCCGCAGCTATATTGCCGTCCAGCCAGGCGTCCAATTTAATCCCGCATAATCACAGCAATACACTGTAAGGAAATCTCTCACAAAGCCCACCGCACAAAGCGAAGTTTATCATGCTCCCAAACTGCGCGAATGGAAATTGTAGACAAAAGCACGCAGGCTCAAGGATTAAGGCTCAAGGCTCAAGACTGAAAGCCGAAGACGGCAGTCGCCAGCTACAGGCTTTTAACTCAGGATAATAGTATTGTGTGTCGTAATTAGCCTTTCTGCACTCCAACTTGTTGCTCTCTCTCTCTCTCTCTCTCTCTCTCTCTCTCTCTCTCTCTCTCTCTCTCTCTCTCTCTCTCTCTCTCTCTCTCTCTCTCTCTCTCTCTCTCTCTCTCTCTTTGAGCTTTAAGCTTGCAATCGATCGGATGTTAGCCAACAAGTCTCATCCACCCATTTTGGAATTTACCTGTTGACAAACAGTTTTATACATTCGTAATTGGTTTTCTTTTTTTTGGATTTGATATTTTTGATATTTATGTTTTTCTCTTCGTATGTTTTAGACACCAACAAAAAAAAAGAACAGAGCTATAACTATGTACATGCATTACATTTACTTGACAATATGGTTTTGTTGTTACTTGTTTTTCTTGTTCGATAACATAAATATTACGCTTAAGTTCTAAAAAAAAACATTTATTATTATTATTATTAATTATAAATATACTCGTATATCTTTGAAAATGTTTCATTTAGCAGCATTTAAAAAGCAACGCGATTTCTCTCATTTAAGCTTAATTACATTATTCAAGTTCAAGTTCAAATGCAGCAGCAATTTACAATGTTTAAAATAATGCAGCGTATATACACAGAGACAATTGCAACGGGGCTGCACATCAAAAAAATAAATGTAGAAGAAATTATTATAATTGTAATATTACATAGGTACGGGTAGGGTGGGCGTATAGAGGTATATAAAAATTGGATAAGTTGCGAAAGGAATTTATGTTACAAATATATAGATATAATAATATCAATAATAATAGTTGTAAATTTAGTGTGTGTGTGCGCGCGCTAAAAACTAGTTTTAACTTTAAATAATCACAATTAAATATTGCTAAGCTATGTAACAGCAACAGCGGCAATTCGCATGTCGTGGCCCCACATATGCACAATAATAAAACTATTGTATAAAATAATATTTATGTGTATTAAAATTAAATCAACAACTTAAAAGAAGCAGCAAAGTAAATAACAAAAAAAAAAAAAAATACATATATATTAGAATTCATGAAAACAAAAAAAAAATTATTTAATCATAAATGAAATTGTTGACGTTACGTAATATGTACAAGCAGTTAAACAAATACCAAAGAAAAAAGAAATCGAATAGATATTTAATTTTGAAAATAATTAAAATTAATATATATAAATTATAGACAAAACTGAAAGCTAAGTAGTTTTGTGTGTGGGGTGGAAACAGTTGGACGCCATTGCAACAGAACAAACAGAACTTCAACACACAATTGAAACGTTGTTGCCACCGGCATGGCCTACGACACGACAGCAATCCCAGCCGACTAGCGGACTCCAGCGTGTCTCGGGTGGAGCGAGAGCAGCTAAGAGCAGCGCACAGGGCACGGGGGAGTGCACAGAAAAATGCTAGAGAGATTAGCGACGCGACGGCAATGTTGCTGCTGCTGCCACGTCACTATCGTTGGCACGAAATGTCCTGAAGAAACGCAGCAACAGCGATCGATCCTCGCCCTTCTCGTCCAACTGACGATCCACACGCCAGCCAATGTTGGGCAGCCACCAAAATGGTGTATAATTTGCATCGTCAGCGGATTGGGATGTTTCTGCTGTTACAGCCGTTGCTGCTGTTGCTGCTGTTGCAGCTGTTGCTGCTGTCGCTGCTGTTGCAGCAGTTGCTGCTGTTGCTGCGGTTGCAGCAGTTGCTGCTGTTGCTGCGGTTGCAGCAGTTGCTGCTGTTGCTGCGGTTGCAGCTGTTGCTGCTGTTGCTGCTGTTGCAGCAGTTGCTTCTGTTGCTGCTGTTGCTGTTGATATTGGCTGTGGGCTGACACCTAAACTATCTACTCTAATTATTTTACTATTTCTATTGCTACGATTGGTATTAATACTTAAATGTTGTGTGCTTTTTGTGTTAGCAACATTTGTTGCTACTGTTTTTGCTGCTGCTGTTACTGTTGCTGTTGAGCTTTCAGCAACATTGCCTGTTATCGCCGTTGTTGCTGTTGGCTTGACTGATGTCGTTGTAATTGTCTCTGCTGATTGTTCTGTTGCTGCTGTTGATTCCGTTGAGCTCAAGCCCAGCATTGGCATGAGGCTTGACCAAAAATTTGTGGTTTCTGTTGCTGCTGCTGCTGTTGTTGTTGCTGCTGTTGTTGCTGTTGCTGCTGTTGCTGTGCTAGACGCGTCTGAGCTGCTTTCGATGATCGTTGCTGTTGCTGCTGTCGTTGTTGCTGTCGCTGTCGTTGGTATTGTTGTGCTGCTGCTGGTTGACTGCTGCTCTTGTTGCTGTTGTCGCAGCTGCGATAATCGCCGCTTGTCCTTAACCAGCTCGTTTATAATGCGCAATTCTTGTTCAAAATTATTTTCACTTGCCGCCTTCTCACTGTCGCCCTGGCCACCAATTGTATTTGTCATTAAATTGTCACTGGATGCCATATCGTTCAGCACATCCAAATCGCCGTCAGCAATACTGCTGCTGCTGCTGCTGCTGCTACTGGCACTGGCAGCAACATCTCTGGCAAAAGGCTGATAATAAAACCGGTCATCATCTCTCGTATTGCCATTGGCATCTTGATGTATAGCAGCAACTTCGGTTTCAGCAGCAGCAGCGACAGTTGCTGCTGTTGTTGTTGTCACTGCTGCTGCTGATGCTGCTGTTAATGTCATTGTTGTTGCTGTTGCTGTTAGTGTAGCTGCAGTTGCTGTTGCTGCAGTCGTTGCAGTTATGGAGCTTAACTGAACCGGTTGCACTTTCGATTTTTTCACGACGACTCGATCTAGCTCTTGTTCTTCCCCTGGCACTCGCGGCTGGGCTGAAGACAATGTTGTTGTTGTGGGCGTTGCCAACGATGCAGTTGCTGCTGTTGTTGCTGTTGTTGTTGTTGTTGTTGTTGTTGTTGTTGTTGTTGTTGCATCAGCTTCGCTGTCAACCGCCGCTGGAACAATATCCGTGGCCGTATCATCGCCCAGATCCAGATCGGCGCTGAGCAGCGGCGAGACGCGACGATGACTGAACGGCGGCATCATATCCACGCTGCTGCCATAGGCCGGCAGAAAGGCGTCAACCTTGAGCAGTTGCTCCAGGTCCGTCTCTCCCTCTGCCTCTGCCTCTGGCTCTGCTGCTGCCTGCAGATTCGCCCCCGCATCCGCATTCGGCTTTGTAACCACATTTAGCTCGGGCTCATCTCTCATCGAACTTGTCACCAGCTGAACGCTGGGCTCTGCACCCCGAGGCCCGCCCGCTGGCACGACAATGGCATCGATATTCCCAATATCGCTGAAGGAGCCAATGCTGCTGCTGCTGCTGGAGATGCTGAGGGTAGTTGTGCTGGGCAGAGCATTGCTGGCATCCGCTTGCAGATCTTCAGCGCCTTCGGCAATTCGATTATCCGGCTGCCGCTGCGCCTTGAGGGCGTCTTCGCGCATTGTTGCTATTGTGGGCGTGGGTGTGGGCGTGCTCATTGCAGCCAATGTTGCTGTTGTTGCTGTCGTTGCATTAACAACATCGGGCTGCAGCACAGCCTCTGGCGCCGTGGGAAACTTTTTTTCAAATATATTGAACTTGAGTGGGGCATCCTCACTGGGCAGGGCCTGGTCCTCGGCACCACTGGCACTGGGCTGCGTGGACAGCTGATCGTTCTGAGCGAACGGCCCTGTGGACATCTCGTAGAGCTGCTCATCGCTCTCGCTGTCGCTGTAATCGTAGTCTGTGGGGCTGCCGCTGCTGACCTCACCGCCCTCGCCGAGTGCACCCTGCAGCTCCTGGGCCACCAGATCGGTGGGATCAATGTTGATCTGCGGTATGCAGCGCTCGTTGTACAGCTTATGGCCCGGCGGGCAGTGGCGGAAGGGCAATGCGAATATCGATTTGGGCATTACCTTCTTCTGTTTCTCGAGCGACTTCTGCTCGTATGGGAGACGCAACCACGCCTCCCACGCATCCTTCTGTGCATTGCCCTCAATGGGCCGCGAGGTGATCGGCAGCGCCTCAACTGCCGCCCCCTTCAGGCTGTGCATGTGGAGCGCGGTCAGCGCCAGCAGCCCGTGCACCAGCAGCAGCCAGCCACAGCCGCTAGACTGCTGTATGCCTCTCGAAGATGATGCCATCGCGGCAATCCTCCAGCTCCAGTGCGGCAGCGTTACCAATCCCACAATCCTAGTCCTGTTTATCTCTGCAATCTGCAAGCAAACAGGATGAGAATGGAGAGAGATAAGTATGACTGGCGAAATGTGTTGTTGCCAATGCCCTGTTGCCCCGATGTGGGTGCCCCACCCAGGTGAAGCTAACCTGCATTTGTGTACCCCCCCACCTTCTCTCCACCAACCGCCCTACTGCCAGCAGCTAATGCGCTTTCTGTGCCACCAACAGCAGCAGCAGCAGCTGTTCTTCTCTGTGAGGTTTTGCCCAGCCGCTTCTTTTGTGGCATGTGGAACAATACCGGTTTTTTTGTGTGTGTCCGGGCCGCACACAGAGCATGCCACCATGGCATAAATTAAAGAAGGTCTCAGCCGAAAAAAGAATATTTTACAAAAATTGAACGCTTAAATCTCTATTGAATCAGAAACAAAATTCAACTGAATTCATATTATAATATTAATAAAGAGAAAATGTTGCACATAAATTTACATTTTAGATTATTATTATTATCGTCAGTATAGGAAATGCTTTGCATATAGCGCGGAACACTGTGACCATGCACTAGCCGGGGAGTCGAACTGGAACCCTCGCTATTTAATTGCATCAGTTAAACAACTCATTTGCCGCGGTCTGTTTTATATGCACATGCAATTAAAAACACTTTTGTTTACAAACAGCAAACAGAGCAATTATTTGTGGACATTTTGATAGCATTTCGACCACTGTGCGCACGGTAGACGTCACACACAAAGATTGTGAACTTGGGCATCGCTTTAAGGTTTTAATGGGTATATCGACGGTGCCACACACACAGCCACACAGCCACACACACGTACACATACACAAATGCATATCTCACATCAGTCATCGGTGTTGTCATAATCAACGGCAACAATAATAATAACAGCAGCAGCAGCAGCCGCAGCAGCAGCAAGGGGCACAACAACTGCATCAACTTGTTGCTGCCACAGCAGTCATTGTTGATGTTGCACTTTGCTTAAGCACACACACGCAGACACACACACACGCAGAGACGCAGCCACGCACGTAAGACATGCAGTGGGATAAGCACGCACAATGTTTATTTATAAAGATACACACACACGCACACGTACACACATATACATATTGTCATAGGGACAGTGGGACAGAGTGAGAGAGTGAGAGAGGGAGAGAGAGAGAGCGTAAGAAGGGCATATATAGGCATATATGTAGGTTATCTGCGGGTTCTTAGAATTTATGAGTTCAAGTGTGGCACATTGCAACCGCGACTTATCCGATTGCTCTAACTGTTGCACTCAAGTTTATGGCTGCTGCTCGTGTTGTTATTGTTGTTGCTGCTGTTGTTGTCATTATTACTTGTTAATAGCTTTTTAGTGGGCCTGGGTCCGCGTATCGGTCATAAAACTGGCCACCGGCCTCTGTCCTCAACTTGTCTCGTCTCGTCTTTTTGGGCGGTGCGTGTCGAATGCGCGTGTGAACGTCAAGAGCCTCTTGACACACACACATACACACGTACGCAGACGCACACACATGTACATTTGATAAGGTTAATGTCATTACGGCATTATATAAGACAATGACTTTGACACCCGCAGCACTTATGAAGCATTCATGGTTCAATTAGTCTAGTCCACAAGTACCCACAGCTTAAAAGTTCATGCAAATGACTATTGCGCTACTGGTGAGGCAGTGAAGGGAGGGAAGCAGGGTTGAGTTTTGGTAGCTCTTCAACTAGTCTTAAACGATTTTCCATGTGCTTATTGCGCTTGCTTTTCAATCCAGCATCATTGGCACTCGTGACAGTTGGCTAATTCCCCGCAACAAGCAACAGTCGTGAGCTTTTGTATGTCTGGCATTTAACTCAATATTTAATCTGTATATTTATGAAGGCATCCACTGACCCAACCGCCAGCAGCAGCAGCAGAAGCGGCGGCATTATTACAGATTGCCTTCCTACTCAGTGTTCCTGCTGCTGTGCACCGTGTGCTGTCTGTTACGAATCAAAATAGTGCATTAAGATTTCATAAGCATTGTGAAGTAGCTGAAACAGATACGAGTTGCAGTTGCTGAAGGCACGGCACGAGAAATTACAGCAGACTGGCGTAAATTCAATGTGGCAAATGTTGTACTTAGTGCACCCAGGGTATTAAGGGGCCAGCGCCATCGTTCAGTGCCACTTTCGATAAATAGCCATGCTATGCTTGTTTGTAGCTAGAAGCGGATCCAGGAAGCTGCACATGAGAACATTTTAGGCCAAAGCCGAAGCACCGCAGCTGATTGTCGAGTTCAACCATTCGTGCTTCCGCAGATAATAATGCAATGAGTCACAATCCAGCTCCATCCAGCGATCAATTATCGGTTCAGGATCAAATTTAGCAAATTTGTTGCATAGGTTCGACACATTTTGCTGGACCAGCTTTTGTGTTTGGGCCAAAACTCTTTCGCGTTCTGTGCACTCGTGCTGCTCCATGAATATGACCACAGGCCTTGCGCAATGCATTCGTATGCAATTAATAAACATCGGACGTCCTCATCATCCTTTGCAGAGTAATATTTCTCTCGTGGCTTCTTGGCTTAGCCGAGTTCTAGGCCCGCGTCTGATAGCTAGCGCCTGTCCATTCAAGTGGTCAGTCACGAACATGAACAGTAGCTATATATATGTATTATATATAGACAGATATATGTACTAGATATAGATATGCGAACTGGCTCTAACACAGCCGAAGGACGAGTTGCACGTTTTGTATCTTGTGTTTCGGCTGTCTATTCATTCAACTGTCAGTTGGGCACCCGCCAAATTGAAATCAACTTCACACGTCGCAAATTTTTAATTAAAAATCAGCAACTGATGTCAATTTGGGGCCACAGCCAAAGGATCCGCCACTGGACTATGCCACAGTGCCTCTGTGTTTTTTGTTTGCCCTGTGCTTTCTTTCTTTTTTGATGTGCTTTGCTTTTTTCGGACAACATTTGATGCCTTTTACGCGTGCGATGCCATCTGGGCTGTCGGAGGCGAGCGGCAGGATTTAGGATTCACATCCATGTTGTTTTGTTGCTGCCAACTGTATGTGTACACATACATAATTCCAGGCAACACACATTGACATCCTGCTAATACATAACAACAGCAGCAACAACATGAGCGGAACACGTAGCAGTGCTTTCTGTTTCGTGCTCGCACGTATTCAATTCAATTCAATGATTCAATCCCATTCGGCATCCTTCAAAACACCAACAACACCAGACCAGTGCGTGCTCCTCTAAGTGTGCGAGTGTGTGTGTGTGTGACCCGCTTTTCATTTGCCATTATTTTATATGTGCCTCGAATGGTGTCCGCGAAACACACACTCGCACACCCACTCACACACAAACACGCAGACATCCTCATTGCGTTTCCAAGCTATTCATGTGCATGTCCAGACTTATCAACATCAGCTTTACGCCCCTCTATCTCTATCCTTCCCTTTCTCTTTCTCGTTCTCTCTCTCTCTCTATTCCTCTCTCTCTTTCTCACTCTAATATCCGTCACATATCTGAGCTACCTGTTTAACATTTTCCCAAAATTTGCACAGTTTCTTATATATTTGTATCTTCTTCTTTTTTCAGTAATCACGTTTTGAATCTTAAGGTAAGTTAAATGGTATTAGCTTATATTATTTACATGTAATTTTATTCTATAAATCTTAGACATTACTTTTGCCACCCTAAGTCCAAGTCTCAAGTCACAATTATGAATGGAAGAAAATGGAAGAAAACTTAAAGTTCAATTTTCATTCGGTTTTCAGGCTGGGATTAATTTTTAGAAAAAGCTTTAAAATGAGATTTGATTCAGGCATAGAATGTTTTACAAAAAAGATTTCCACCAATATTCCGCAGTTGCGGGTGGATTTTTCCAAAACGTCATCTTAGAACGCAAAACAAACTTTACCTTTGTAGCTCTTACGATTTGACCTGATCATTGATCATCCATCAGGCAGTCCGTCAATCAGTCAGTCAGTCAGTAAGTCAGTCAATCAGCCAGTTAGTCAGTCAATCAACGAGTCATAAAAACTATTTGTATGGCCAAGGGTTCAGCAAGTTTGGCAAACACAATTTTCCATTTCAACTGTGCGGGTCGAATGACATTTGTTAAAAGTGTTGCAAGAAAAAAGTGCTCAAAGGAAACAACTTTAGTCATTCAAGCGTTTGTTTGACACACAGAGAACAAAAAATGAAGCAAAACACTTCCAATTAATCTTACTTAAAGCTGCGACTCCAGGAAACCTCTTGCTGTAACTTATGGCCAGCTACACTAAGTCTTAATTCCATACCCCGAACTTACCCCAAATGGAAGAAGGAAGGTTGGAAAGAGTTTATATTGGTTTTGTGCAACTGCATTTAACAGTGTGCATCCATAGTCTTGATCAGAGCGACGAACTAAGTCGATCGAGAGTCTTTCTGTGTGAACTTGGCAAAGCTAGAGAATTTCAATTTCAAATATATATTACCATATACATATGCTTGAGCGAGCTAAAGCTTATCCATAACTCGGCCTAAATCGATAAATCGATTTTGAGAATTGCTTTTTAAGGCATAACTCAAAAACTATAAAAGATAGATACAGAATGCTCGGTATATGGGTTTTTGTACCGTTCTCGCCAAAATTGCATAACGCTTATGTTGTCAAGTACGCATTGCGACTTGGTATATACACACTTTTGCATGCCATATTTAAGCACTGTAAATTTCATAAATTTAAATAAATTTCCCAATGCGTGGATAAAGCAGAAAGCTGGAATTTCGTGAGCTAGCTCAGGGTATCTTTTGGTCGTTCACGCCCGACTTGAACACAGATTTTTATATAACTTTTTGAACAATCTGCAACAAAAGAGTTCTTTTTTGGAAAGTATGGAAACTAATGCACTGCTCAGTGCTATTGGCCCTGCCACAATGGCAATGCTTAGGACTGCAAAAATGCAGCTGAATTGCATCATTGGTGATCTCATCGGTAGCTAAAGCGTATACAATTATTGCCCGGAGGGGGGCTGCCACAATAGAC